GTGGTGATTATTTTAAGAACATGATTACTGGTGTTATACAAATGGATGGTGCTATTTTGATATTTGTCACTGTTTTTAGTTTTGTCACTTTTTTGAGTTTGTATCACTTTTATTGTTTGTTACTTTTTAAAAATTTCTCACTTTTTTTTATAACAAACATATGTTTTGATTGGTATTTTGTTATCTTTTTAAGTATTTGTCACTTTTTTGAGTTTGTATCACTTTTTGAATGTGTATGTGTCACTTTTTTAAAAAAAGTGACAATTTTTATAAAAAAAGTGACACAATGTCACTTTTTTATTTTACACAGTATTTTTTATTTCCTAAAAACCTTTCACATGATTTTTCAAAACACCCCTAATTTTAAGGGTATTTTATTTTTGCATAAAGGGCTGTAGGGGCGGAGCCACCTGTAGCCCAGTACAAGCACATGCTTGGACTAGACTTCGGCCTAGGCCCGATCTTTTTTTTTTTTTGTTTTTTTTTTGGCAGTCTATGATTTGATGAAGATGAGATGCAATAATATATGAAGATGCAGAGTTTGAGAAGCAAAAGCCAGAGCTTGAATCTGCATCTTCAATTGCATGTATATATCTTCTATAAAAGCTTTTCATCTATGTCGTCTTCTTTTTCTATTGTCTTCTTCTTCTTCTTCATATTCATTTCTATTATCTTCTTCTTTTTCCTCTTTAAGGAGGTTTTCATTTATTCTATGCTTGACAGTGATCAGCTTAAGTGGATAAAGATGTTGTGGATAAAGCTCATAAGGTCTAAAATAATAATTCCCCAATTTATATGAAGTTTAATCTATAATTTAATTAGCTACTTTGTTGAAATTTTAGATTCAAAGAAATAAGTCGATGTTTGTACTTCATTTTTAAAATATAATTTTTCTCGAACTTATTTTTAATCTTATGTTCTTTCAATAAAACCTAAAATTTATCCTACGTTTTAACTATATGTTCTCTTAAAAAAAATCATTTTTTGCAAAATTCTTTCTAAAAAATGATATTTAAACATGAGCTAAATGGTTGTGCGTTTACAATTTATTAAGATTATAAAAGTAACCTTATATATTATTAGATTGGGATACAGATCTTTAGTTAAGTTTTATTGTTTTCGATTTAGGAGAATCGTAAACACGTCACATTTAATAAAAGGATAACTATGAGATGCGCATGAAGGAGTATGGTCAACACTAAATTTAAATGTGTTCTATTTCTAACTTAAGTTTTTAGACGAATTGACGGTTATGCGTAAAAATGAGAGAAAATAGAAGAAAAAATAATTTTTTTAATTTGATAAACAGTGAGTAATGTAACTTAGTTGCAACCAAAATAATAGTAATCAAAACATAAAGTTATCTAAATTTCAAACAAAACACAAAAGAAATTTGTAATTTTTTTAGAAAGGCTACTTTAAATTCATTTAATATGAATATGTTTTCATAAAATAAAGAAGTTTCACTTTTTCTTCGAAATCCTTCTACGTTCCTACCCTTTTTGTTTTCTTTAATATGAATATATTATTTTATATTTTACCATTATTAGCTCAATGGTCGAAAAATCAAAGTCCAACCTCGATTAAATTTGGCTCGCACTGAACAATATTCCTAACTCCGCCCGCTGCATTAAAAATATTTAAGTTTGTAATTTATGATGGCATTTTTGAGATCTAAAAAAACAGGTGAGGATTGTAATATTATGACAGCTAAGGTTGGTATTGCTCATTTGTTCTTTCCTTCTGTCATTTCCCTTCTTTAAATTAATTTCATTTTCTCCCATAATGATCTGAATGTTCCTAGACTTCACTTTTGAGGTTTATCATGTTTATTTGTTTACTTTGTAAAAAATAAAACAGCCCAGTTATTTCTTTAAGAGATTCACTGCGTTTTGGCTTTACATTTAAATCGTGTGTCATACTATGTCGTGTAAAAGGTTAAGTTGATACAAAGAGATCAAATGCATTTTATTTAAATTTTATGTTTAAAACACTTTCATAGTCCTTTGGTTGGATCTAATATCATTTGAATCTTATTTAAAACGTTAATGGAACCATAGTAAATTTTAATTTATTATGGTTCTCAACTTCTTGTCAAATTCTTTGTTGTAGCTATATTCAGTTGTATAATTACTTTTGATAACCTCTTAATTAAATTAATGTATATGAAATTGAAATGAAATAATGTTCCCTAATCTCATTCTTTGAAAACTCATTTTTCGTCAAAATCATTTTTAATAACATATTCTTTCAATAAAATAATTTTACATGTAAATCTAAAACTTCTCTCTACTTTTGCACTGTATATTCTCCAAAAAAAAAAAAAAAAATCACTATTACAAAACCCATTTTTTTTCACAAAAATAGAGCTCAAACAGTATAATCAAACTACTCACCACTTTTGTCGCCTGCGAAATAAAGTATTCACATAAAAGTGTGAGAAAATTTATCCGATAATGTACATTTTATAACATTTTGGGAGCAATTGTTTAATAAGTAGTAAAAAGAACTCATTAAACCCCTGTTTTATAGGGATTAAAATCATATTTTAGCATATTGATAAAAGTTGATAAAATATATAATTGAAAAGTTGTGAATTTAATGAACTATGTGTTTAAAATTAATTATTGACTTTGACTTAAATTAAAATCTTGATTTAATCCCCAATCATGTAAAGGCAAAATTAGGAAAGAGTCAACTTTTCAAAGTAATTGTCAAAAGAGTAAATATATTCACGCAAGAATTTTTGTTATCTACACATTTTAATTACAATGAATATCTCTAAACTTTTCTTATTTCTACACCTACGTTCTCAACTTTTTATTTATTTATTTTTATTTTTATCGTCAATCCTTTATTAATTTTCACATCCTGTTTATAAAAACGATTTTCGTCCAAAATGTTTGTTATGAAGGCCAAAAAGACGTATTTATATATCATATTTTAAATAATCAAAATAAATAACTAATACAAAAGTTAAACAAAGTATTTGTCCATCTTTTTAATGCGCTTTAGTAGAAATATGTGGTTGAAAATCATGATTAGAGACAAAATATGTTAATTAATCGAAGGTTAAGAATGACAATGCGACAAGAAAAAAGTTGAGAACATAAAAATAAAAGTAAGCAAATATTGAAAACTTTTCTTGTAGTTAAAATTTGGTGCAAACATAGAAAATTGTTTTATGAATATAATTACCTATGTCAAAATGGCCATTTTGCCAAGTACAATGGCCACGTTACCCTTCTTGAAAAATGTTTATTTCAAATATGTGGTTACAATTGCATATTACAAATTTGATGGGTGCACAAATTACAAGACCAGAGCTTAAATCTTGTAAGAGAAGCTATGTAATTAATAATTATTTTACATACAAATCAATATATTTATAACAAAAAATAAAAAATAAATACTTCATCCATCTCATTTATATAAGTTGACTTTTCTTATTTTCTTTTCTCAATTATATAATCATG